GTGTCAGTCTTTCTAAACTATATGCAGATTCACATATGGTGAATGTGAATGCCATAACCTATAAATAGAATGTGACTGGCAATCTATTTGGATTATCATCCTCAAGCATGGAAAAACATGAGCTATCACACAGCTGTGGGCTGTGTAAGGTTTAATTATATGTGAATGAAAACTATACTAAAATCTATCCTCCCAGTTTGTGAAAGTTTTCTTCAATCAAAGATGCTTCTGATGTTCTTCTTGTGATTATATGATAATGCCATTTCTTATGAAATGCATAATTGTGTGTCATTTTTGTAAGCCACTTAGATTTGTTTCTGATAGAAAAGGCATAAGATCAATTGCTTGTCACATTAGAAGAATTATTCCTGAAACTCCACATTTAAGCTCTCTCTGAAATGAATAAAAAAAATTCCATCTCGGCTGTAGAAAAATCAAAGCAGGAAATCAGTTACTTTCAAAGAGGGCTGTGAATCATTCAAAGCAAGGCATTAATGGACAGCAGGGTTATTATAGTTGTTGCTTTTTGGCTTCCTGTTCAATGCAGCTTTTATAGCAAAATATACAAGCTAATCCATTGATGCTTCCTAGATCCACCAAGGAAAAAGAAAGAGGGGAAAAAAACCCCCACTATTTCTCAGGAAATAAGTCACCTACATGTTCAGAAATTTAATTAGACATTTCCCTAGATATTTCTTTCTTCTCTCTCTTTTTGTTTTATGCTGAAAATCATAACATGTTATACATTGTTTACACTTCCCTTGCTAAAATACTTTCCGTGAATGTTTAAAGACTTGGTAGTGTAGTGTAATGTCAAGTAAGCAATGAAACCGATCGTGGAGTCTAATTGTATTTTCTTTCTCCTCTTAGAAAAAAAGAATTTTAAAGGGTTCAGTTGAATTATCCAAGATTAAATGTGTAGAACTTGTGAAAAGTGACATCCCAGTTCCATGTCACTATAAATATCCTTTCCAGGTAAGCATTAACATCTGCCATTACAATCATCCTAAACATAACCAGTACATCCAACTTGCAAGTCATGCTTAATGCTTTTTTAATTGATCAAAAGATTTAAGGGGTAAAAACTGCTTAAGTGTTGAGAGGGAAATTGTACCAAAAACAGCTTATAGCATTTTCAGAGTTGTTTCTGTTTGTGATGCTAATTAGTATTTTTAAAAAGGATCCAGCTGCTTTGTACAATACCTTTCTGTCAAATTTTAGAACAGCATATAAAATTTAATTTTATGCTGTTTCTTCCTTTGTCTATTTCAGTCTCTTGCTCCCATTATTTTTACCTGCCGCAAAATACTTCCAATACATTTTTCTCTAGAAAAGTCCCTACCCCATCCCCAAACACAAGTAATTAATTGGGGAGAAAACTTTTTGTTTCTTCCTGGAAATATGGGACTTTTTTTGAGTGGGTTGTGCTAAAGCAAGCCAGATATATAACAATGTAAATAGCATATGAAATTATTTTTTCCCCTCAGCTGCAGCCCAAATGTTAGCTTCCTGTTTGGCAATAAAATGAACAATTCATAATGTGCTGCAGATATAGTATCATTCAGAAAATCAAGAAAATTGTTTGATCCTAGTGATACAATTCATGATTGACCAGGATAAAAATAGCTTGTGGTTTCTGTTTCTTATAGGACAAATACAGATATGAATATTTGTTGGAGAATTAGGAGTTTTAGAATCTCAGCTACATTTAATTTCTTTTAAAAAGCAAAATTCTATTCCAGTCTGTGGAAATCTGCTGAAATTTTGTTAAGAAGGTCTAACAATGGGATAATGGGTCTTCAATACTTTTTTATGTTCATCCATTGTATGCAAATATATGTAATGTATTCACTAGACACATACATACCACACACAAATATCTCAGAATAACAAATAATATAATGTTCACTTGGCAAAATGTTTAATGTAATAGTTTTGTTAGCAATCTGACACCACATTATATTATTTATTAATACAAGTTCATTTTTTCCTTTTAACATCACATCAGAAAACATGGGCTGATCCTGTTCAGTTTAGAATTGACTCTAAATCATTTTTTCTTTCATCACAGATTTTTCATGACAGCTATATGCTCTACATCTTTGCTCCTAACCTAGCAAGCTGCCAGAAATGGGTCATGGTTCTGAAAGAAGGTAATTCCTAACCCATCACACTGTAATTCCTTAGGTCAACTCTTCATTTGAAATTCAGTGTCAGTATGTCAAGGTAACATTAAGGCTAAGAAATACATGTTAGATATAAGCTTTTGTGGCTTTGAAGTGATTTTTATATTCCTGTTTCCTGCTGCAGCCCTTAATTATTTTGGTATCACTTTTAAAAAAAAAAAAATAGTTGATGGCAAATGGTAAAGGAAACTTATATTTCAGAAATTAAGCTGGTCACACTCTATTTTATGTCCAGATATGTATGTTATTAGTCGGTGCTATAAAAATTAATGATAAAATAAAATATTTATTAACTTACCAGTTGTCTGGAACAAATTTATTTCACCTCCATATGCTGGGTATAGTGTTTAAGGACAATAGAGATAAGTGTTTATCTAAGTATCTAATTAAATTACATGCTGCATCGACAACTCCTTTTACATTATAGCACATTAAAATAAAACAAGATTGGTCCTTATTATTTGTAGTAAGCACAATGGCATGTTCATCATCTGTTCATAATATCATGGTGAAATCTGTTCTCCAAACTTCAGAAGTTTTGTGTTTTGCTTTGTTTTAATCCCACTAAAAGTAGCTTTTGCTTTTCTGTATCATGGTCAGGATGATTTCGAATTTCATAAATACCTACTCTCTTCTACTTCATGAGATGGAGCATGTAATGGAAGCAATTCTTTCCCATCAAATGTAATGATTAAAATGATTGTCTAGGAGAAATAGCAATCCCAATACACTTGCAAAGTATCTAATGGGGGAAGTCTATTGTAAAAGCTGTTTACCATTATCAGGATTGCTCTGTTTAGAGTATCTGTCATTTTCCCCATTTCAGAAACTCAGAACAACACCACTTTGGTGTCAAAGTTTCACCCAAATTTCTGGATGGATGGACGATGGAGATGTTGTGCTCAGCTAGAAAAGATGGCAACAGGCTGCACGGAGTATATTCCAGCCAAGACTGGTAGGAAATTCCAAAACTTCTCTTCCATCAAGGCTTCAAGAGTAATTTAAAGTACTGTTATATAAGCTATAGGACATCTGTAAAATATGTATGAGAGAAGTTCAATACAGCTTTATGTTTAATTCTGTTATTTTTATATAGTGGGTTGACTGCCTTGTGGTTTGGCTCATGAGAGTGATCTGGTCACCATATGGCTTAAATCTGTAATGTGGATTTATTAATTTCTTTTGGGACTGAAGATTTCCAGACTCAGCATTGCTCATCTATAAAACCAATAAATGTCTAAATACTTCTCCATAATATGGTACAAAGCAATGTGTAATGCCGAAAAACCCACCTAGAATTATTTTCTTGTGCTTCTTGCACTGTGTTTGTGAGGCAGTCACTGTTTAGAACATATGTGGATGGTACTGTTAACTGATATGCAGTCCTATGCATTAATTATATATCTTAAATAAGCAAAATATGTATTGCAGATTATCTCTTTTAAGCACTAGGTTTCACTTTTGGATTCATTAGGATCTGTGAGTGGTTTTTCTTTCTGCTCCACAAGCTTCACTTCATTTGCTCTGGCCTCTGTGTTTAAGGGCAATACTCTTATCCTCTTATCACTCATGTCCTGATTGTGGGCTGCTGTTGTGGCCATTGCCAGATCCTACTCCAAATAAATGGCTGCCCAGTTAGTAAAGCTGCATTCCCTACACATTGTACAGCTATGTACTGTAGGTATTTGGAGCAAAGAGATCTTCTTGCATATATATATGAAATCTTTATCACGACACCACATCACACGTATTGTAAAGAAGAAAGAAAACACTAGGTCCAAAGAAAAATATAGCTCTGAGAAACAAAATGGAAAAACATTTACACTTTTTGTGAATTGTATTTCTATTTGTAAATTGTATTTATTTTCTATTTAATTTGGTATACCTATAAGTTTGCTGTGGTTAATTGTGTACTTGGCAGAATTTGCAGATGTAGTTTGGATGGAGTCAAGTGCTCATTTCCTAAAGTTACTTCTTAGCAAAAAGTGAGATCTGTTTGCCTATAGTTTCTAGTCATGATACTTGATCCAGTATTTTACCCATTCCCTGGGTCAGTGGTGGCGAACCTATGGCACTGGTGCCAGAGGCGGCACTCAGAGCCCTCTCTGTGGGCACGCGTGCCGTCGCCCCAGTCCTAGGCCTTCAGCTGGGTTTTATAAAACCTTTTCGCTTTAGGCCTCTGCCGCCATGTACAAAAAAAAAAAGATTCAATCAGTCAATTTCAACTTCTCACGGGGAAAAAAAAGATCTTGCAAAGTTGGAATTGATTGATTGAACTTCTTAGTCCCACCCAGTCTGCTGTTACTACCGCAGCCACGTCCACCCAATGGGCCACACCCAGCCAATTGGCCATACCCACCTGGCACTTGACGATGCATCAGTTGGTTTTGGGTTGCAGTTTGGGCACTCAGTCTCTAAAAGGTTCGCCATCACTGCCCTGGGTCATTGAAGATGTTCTACCTCAGCCCATGATTAAAAAATATAGGAAACAGTCGGTATACAGTTACTCTATAGTCCTTGAAAACACTTAGCTTCATAAAGCTCCCATTTTCATAATTTATTTCTTTTGTATGCACACAAGTTATGTTGATTTCATATGTTTTTCTTTCCCTAGCCTCTAATAAACCTCTTCCGCCTACACCGGAGAATAACATGGTGAGAATCAAGATGTGGGTAGTACATATGGAAGCAACATCATATAATAATAATAATAATAATAATAATAATAATAATAATAATAATAATAATAACAACAACAACAATAATAATAATAATAACAACAACAACAACAACAACAACAACAACATTGGAGGTCATCGAATCCAACCCCCTGCTCAGGGGGTTGTATGTATGGCATATGTATGGCATTGATATCATGAAGTTCAGTTTTTGAAATGTTACAACAAATGTTACATCTAAAATGTGGCTTAATGATTGCAAATTTTTTGTAACATCTCTAGTCAAACTTTTTAGTACGGGTAATAGGTCTGCAATTTGTGGTGACCATATTTCAATATCTGTCATTTGCATGATCCCACATGATACCTTCTACTATTACTTTCTAAGAATACAGCAACCAAAGCCCAATTTGATTTAAAAATGTAGGGCTCATTTATTCAAGTTCAGTATCTATTAATAAATAAAAGGCCAATATTGAGGAGACTGTGAGTTCAAGTCCTACCATACCCATGAAAGCTGGCTGGGTAACTTGGGGCTCATGGGATTCTTATGGGTAAAATAGAAAGAGAAATATATATTCGCCGTTTTGAATTATTTGTAAAAATAATAAAGGCAGCACACAAATAAATAAATAATACATTTTAAAAGGCTAGTATGCCTATGGTATTAATATTACAAACAACAACAACAATAATAATATTAATAGTTGGAAGGGACCTTAGAGGTCTTCTAGTCGAACCCCCTGCTCAGGCAGGAAGCCCCATACCATTTCAGACAAATGATTGTCCAGTGTCTTCTTAAAAACTTCCAGTGTTGGAGCATTCACAACTTCTGGAGGCACATTGTTCCACTGATTAATTGTTCTAACTGTCAGGAAATTTCTCCTTAGTTCTAGAATTCTAGAAATCTCTGTGTTTTGAAATATAAGAAGATTTGACAAAGCTGGCATACTATATATGTAATCAAATATTTGTTGCATTCGTTTTCTGCATTTAATAAGTCTTTCTTTTTTTAAAAAAAAAAACAGAAATTATCACTGGATACCAAGGAATCTTCAGTAGTTGCCATTTATGATTATATTGCTCAGAATCCTCAGGAACTGACATTACGATGCAATGAGGAATATTATGTTATTGATAACTCTGAAGTCCATTGGTGGTTGGTTCAGGATAAGAATGGGTAGGTTTGTAGAAAAGACAATTTTTCTTTTTTAAAAAATGTATGTTCTAATTCCCTCCTACATTACATTTTCCCCATATGCTGTAAGTTTCTTATTCATTTTGCTTTCCTGTCTTAGATTACTGTAGCATACTTTAAGTATAGTCCATGATGAATAAGATACTTACTGTATATATGTTCTGCTGTGTTTTTCTTTAGATGTCCTAGGACCTAGACATTGGTATTTGGACATAAATCTTTGTAACATTTATGTTTTATTGTCTGTTACTAATCTAGATGAAATGTTAATATATATTGTAAGTCCATGTCCTATATGCCATACAGAAAATAATAAATAATAATATGTTTGGAAATAAAGTTGAAAGTTTTATTTTCTGTATCCAGTAAGAGATGGTGCTATATACTCATTGTCATCAGCAGAAGGTTTGGTATCATGTATTCTGCTCTAATAGACAATTTTAATCAAGTCATACACTGAAGTTTCTCATCTTTTAATAACATGACAACTTATTTGTTGCAGGCATGGAGGATATGTGCCAAGCAGCTACATAGTAGAAAAATCACCAGATAATCTTCAAATATATAAGTAAGAATTTGTTGCTTCTTTGTATGTAATATCATTAACAAGTTATAACTGAAATTTTGAATTATGTAATTTTTAAATCTTCACATTAAGATGTCAATTCAATTTTTATTAGAAAAATAAACCGATAATCGCATTCAAAAGCATATAGAAAAATGTTAGCTAATCAGGACTCCCAAGCAATGTTAGATTAGGTTAAAGTTCTTCTTTGAGATCATAGAATGAAATGGAAATCTCAGTCTCCTTTCCCTTCCCTTCCCTTTTATTAAATGTGATCCTAGTCAGAGCCAGCTGACCTTCGCCATCTTCTTACACTTGCTGCTGACAAGGCCTTCCAAAAGCTTGCAAGAAGGCTCTGCCTGCCCTTCTCCAAATCATGCAATGATTTGGAAGGCCTCCGAAGTTGCAGATGGCCTCAGGAAGAAGGCCTGCCACAGCAAGCAGCTGCCTCGCGCAGGCCTGGCCCATTAAGATCTCTAGGGCCCACCTTGAGGATGGGGTTTGGAACCCCGAGAGGTGGCATGCTGCGGGTACAAATCGAAAAGTATTGAAATCGGCCAAATTAAGGTTCTTTTTAAAGGGGTGTTTTAATAAATTTTTAGGGGGAACAAGGGTGGTTGGGAGGGGGGAGGATCACCTTAGGTCA